CGTTCTATATTACATCGAACTAGGATTATTTTAGAAATCAATATGAGATTCAAAGTGTAAAAATGTCTAGTACTTTGAACGTTTTAGAAAATTATTCGAGATAAAGATGTATGGGACTACCGGAAATCACTTCAGATTCGTTTTCCTTATTCTGTAAATTATTTGATTGGAATATGAATGCTGCTGGAAGTATAAACATTTTCACAGGACAATGATATAAATGGAACTGTAAAACTTTTTTAAGTGTTACAGTGATATTTCGTTGGCATCCGTATTAGCGCACTGCACCGAACGCGGATAGCATGATGTAGTCGCAAGGGAGCAATTGAATCGAATAGACGTATTGTACCGTAGCGCATCGTATTGTATTTCAAACTTTTATATCATTATAATTTATATGTATATTCCAACAAACATACGCCCGGTAATATAAGCTTCATTTCATCGAATTGTCTTAAATATAACTGCATAAATATTGTACAATCCTATACTAATTATATTTGTCTGGTTCAACAGGTTACTACAGAAACTAACTACTGCCTACGTCTTTTAAACTTGGGCTCTAGTAGTATCTGCAGAAACCGCCATTGTTGCTGGGGTTACTATATAATTTGCTCACGGAAGCATGCACAAGTGTCAGTCAGATTTCGACAGTTGCACGAGCAACATTAGACCGAGCTCGAGACTCGTACGAGCAACAGGGATAAAGGATCACGTTTCAAAACTCTTGCGCATGCTCCGGGGGTTCTATGACCCTACGCTTTCACCACGGTGTCTCAGGCGCTACATGTGGGGGTTCTATGACCCCACGTTCTCGTAACACGGGGTCCCTGGCGCCTCCACCGGGGGTTTTATGACCCCATGATCTCACCACACGGGGTCCCTGGCTTAATACAGACACTAACTACCGCCTACGTCTTCTAAACTTGGGCTGTAGTAGTATCTGCAGAAACTGCTATGGTTGCTGGGGTTACTATATAATTTGCTCACGGGAACACGCACAAGCGTCAGTCCCAATTCAACAGTTGTACGAGGAACATTCGACCAATATTATCTATACTATAAATATATTGTAAAATCATGTATGTAAGTAGCACTTGAAGCAATTGTTGTTAAATTTATAGAAATACTATTGTAAATTGTATATTTTCGTACGATTATTTTAATAAAAAACAGTCAAATCATACATATGCGTTATTCATTAATCCCGGCACTACCTCCACTCTTATTCCTAATATCAATTAAACAAAAAAGTATTAAGAAATAATAAATAATAACAAAATAATTAATTCTGAAACGTCTGTGGGGTCATATGACCCCAACGTTTCCGCCATTTTGGATTTTGAAAAAGCGCGGGAAAAATTGGGATTCATGGGACATACTAGTGGTGCCCCAAAAAAAGCGGGTGGCGAAAGTTGGAACTAAACCCAGAACTTCTTCGATAGTTCGCACAGTCGCCACCAGATGGCGCTGCTTAAAAAGTTTTAGAATTAGTTCCAACTTTCGCCATCCAGTGTTTGTGGGGGCGCCACCGTACTGCAGGTTTTTCCGCCATCTTGGATTTTGAAAAAGCGCGGGAATATTAGGGTTTCATGGGACATACTAGTGGCGCCCCCAAAAAAGCGGGTGGCGAAAGTTGGAACTAAATTCAGAACTTCTTCGATAGTTCGCACAGTCGCCACCAGATGGCGCTGCTTAAAAAGTTTTAGTATTAGTTCCAACTTTCGCCATCCAGTGTTTGTGGGGGCGCCACCGTACTGCAGGTTTTTCCGCCATCTTGGATTTTTAAAAAGCGCGGGAAAAATTCGGATTCATGGGACATACTAGTGGCGCCCCCAAAAAAGCGGGTGGCGAAAGTTGGAACTAAATTCAGAACTTCTTCGATAGTTCGCACAGTCGCCACCAGATGGCGCTGCTTAAAAAGTTTTAGAATTAGTTCCAACTTTCGCCACCCACTGTTTGTGGGGGCGCCACCGTATTGCAGGTTTTTCCGCCATCTTGGATTTTGAAAAAGCGCGGGAAAAATTGGGATTCATGGGACATACTAGTGGCGCCCCCAAAAAAGCAGGTGGCGAAAGTTGGAACTAAATCCAGAACTTCTTTGATAGTTCGCACAGTCGCCACCAGATGGCGCTGCTTAAAAATTTTAGAATTAGTTCCAACTTTCGCCACCCATTGTTTGTGGGGGCGCCACCGTACTGCAGGTTTTTCCGCCATCTTGGATTTTGAAAAAGCGCGGGCAAAATTGGGATTTATGAATTTAACATTAATTTTATTTTTTAACGCGATTTTAACTAACTGTATTTAGCTATTATTATTGCTTTATTAATGAATAATATGGGATAGAGGAAGTGATAGCCTTGGTAAACAACGCTTATGTAACATTTAACTGTTTATTATTGAAAAAATTGTTAGAAAATGTACAATTTACAGTTGTATTTGTATAAAGTTAACAATAATTGTCTTAAATACTACTTATATACTCGATTTTACAATACATTTATTATAATATATGCATAAACTCAGTAAAACACGGCTAACATATTATTCAGACTTAGTGTAATTTATCCGTCGCGGAAAAGTTCCACTTCTGAAGCTGGTAGATGTTCCGTACGATCTTCAAAGCTTCGGCTGCATACGATAAATGTGCGTAATAAATTGCAGTATTCCTTGGCCACATTCAATCTGTTATTGTTACCTGTAGGTGACGGGAGAGTGGACGGTAGTGAAATGATTGAGTCAACATGCGCTTGAAACATGGTCTTTATTACTGTTGTTCGTGCAACTCTAGAGTTTGGTTTGTTCTGGCTCGTGCACACTCGTGCAACTGTAGCAACTGAGCGCAGACCAGACTGACTAAAACTTCTGGGCTGAATAGATTTTATCCAAACGAGGTTCCGTTCATTGGCGTACGAATCGAATATCCCTAGATAAACTACGCTGCGCACATGTACTGTAGTGACACCGACTAGAATTTAAAATAAAACACGCTCTGAGTGTTACTAATCGATTGTAGTGTCGATTGTCGATTAGTTGCGATCAGTGTCGATCAAACTAAGTAGTTTAAATACACGTGTGATGATTGTAGCTTGTAGTTTACGTAAAAACAACGTAAATAGAGTGTAATTAATAAAATAGCTACGATGGCTAATACTATTGTAAACAACAATGCTCCACAAGTACAAATAAGATTCGTTACCAAGCAAGAACAGTAAGTACGTTTTTTGGTTATTTCTCATGACAAGGACCGCGAGGTTAAAGTATTTTACTAAACAGGCAATATACTTTATTATGAACATTACTTTTTCAAATAATCGTTTCTTGAATTACTCTTAAATTGTCATTCAATCTCTTAAATTGAATTTCTGATGGAGTTAAAATTATTCCCCTGTTTCACATGGACTTGTTATTTCACTGTACACCTATTTTTAAAACGCTTATTGTCTGTGGACCTGACAGGTTCTTCCCTCTTTCAAATACGTCATATGAACGTATTCCCTTTTAACTATCAAATGACACAAAAATCAGAAAATAAACAAAAATGGACTCATTATGTTTTTTCCATATGGTCTCCATACATATTCAATGTATTTCTTAAATTTCAGATATGCTGTTCCAGACTTTCCATTATCTGTACATACGGCTATTACACCAAATGAATTGAATACTCTAGTGAATGAGCTCTTAAAAGGTATACCAACATTGTCTAGAATATTAATTTCCATGTATCACCTGATTCATGCAAATTGTTTTAATTCTAGAATCGACTGATACAAAAAATGATGTAGAATTTGATTTTCTGGTGTGCTCTCAGTTTCTACGTACTTCATTATTGGATCACATAACAGAGAAGAATATTTCTACCGAGGAGGTTATAATAGTAGAATATGTAGAAAAGTATCCACCTCCAGAGCCACAGGACTGTCTTATACATGACGATTGGGTATCCACAGTTGCAGTTTGTGAAAAATGGTTATTTTTCATTTTGTTTGTTTGCTACAGACTATTTCATTTCTGAGTGATATTTTGTATTGAACAATGTATTTAATAGGATACTGACTGGATGTTACGACAATACGTTACATATCTGGACATCAAAAGGGAAACATCACCTTGTAATTCCTGGTCACACATCACCCGTTAAAGCAGTGGCATGGATATCCTTGAATGATGACACTGCAAGTTTTGTTAGGTAAATTATAAAAAATGACACATGACTTCTTTGGTGATCTCTACATATTGTTAAAATGTATCTACAGTGCATCTCAAGATCAAACAGCTATAATATGGGTCTGGAACATTTCGGAGAATTCTGTAGACTGCATACACGTATGCAGGGGTCATGAACGTGGACTCGAAGCTGTTAGTGTAAACTATGACCATACCATGATGGCAACTGGTGCTTGGGATACAATGCTTAAAATTTGGTCCACATGTGAGTACCAAACGGTACTGTAATACCTTGTAAAACGCGGTTGATTGGTATATCGAGAAAGTCTCACGGTAATCGATACGTTGTTTGCATACATTGGATTATTTTATTTTCAAATCATCAATGGATCATTGTGCCCAAGTCGACATTAATCAAATCCGCAATATGTGATGTATTCCCGTCTTTAAAGGAGTAAGTAACAATTAAAATATGCGTAATCTTTTGTTGGTCTTTGTAGCTAATCAAGACGAAAATGAAGATGGTGAATCTACGTCGAAAAGATTGAAGTCAGAGCATGGTAAAACAAGGGTAAGTTGAATACAGTATTACCTCCCTATAATTGCACCATGAGGTACCAGTGACGAGTTCATATCTAGAGAGCAGTGGATATAATTTTATGATTATTTCATTGGCTGGTGACTCGTCTCCGTCCGTGATTATAGGGAGGAAACACTGTATGTACAAATACGGAAAAAGTAAGTGTTATGTGATTCATGAATTTACTATAGTGTGTACAATTTACATAGACTCCCAAAAGAACGATGAAAGGTCATAAAGAAGCTATCAGCGGTATAGTCTGGTCAGATAAAACGGAAGTCATAACATGTGCATGGGACCACACGATAAAACTATGGGATACGGAATTAGGAGGCATTAAACATGAACTTGCTGGCAATAAAAGTTTCTTTGACATTGATTATTCTCCTTTGTCGCGTGCTGTTATAACAGCATCTGCTGATAGGCACATCAGGTTATATGATCCAAGATCTATAGGTATTTTTTAAGACTTCTATTCTGTATTACTACGAACCCTCTTAATACCCAGTATCGGTTTATAGGACATTATAGGGGACGCTAAAATTACCTCCACAATTCCAGACTGATGTCTAGATATTGTTTTTTTATTGAATATTTTTTACAGTTGAAAAATATATGATGATTTCTGTTCCCCAACAAGCCGATATATCGATTAATTTGTATTAAAAAGGTTAATTATTGTAAATCTTATAGTAATTGTAATTATTTTTAGAGGGAACGCTTGTGAAAACAATATTCACATCTCACACACAATGGGTACAATCTGTAAGATGGTCGACTATGGATGAAAATCTGTTTATTTCAGGGGCGTATGATAATAACATGAAACTTTGGGATACCAGAAGGTATAATAAATAAATCCAATCGTGTCTAAGTTGTGTAACAAAATACACAGTTTGTAAAAATAATGTTTGATTGCAGCCCCAAAGCGCCATTATTTGATCTATCCGGGCACGAAGACAAAGTATTATGCTGCAACTGGTCGAATCCTAAGTTCATAGTGTCTGGAGGTGCAGATAACACTGTAAGAATATTTAAATCGAAACATATTGTCCGTTAATGACAAACTAGCAGCATTGTAACAATTACATATAACAGGACAAACAAAATATCATCTAAATAGTGCAAATTTAATATTTATTTTACTCTAAATTAAACAATGTAATCGTCTAAATGAAATAGAGTTCAGTATTTTTGCCGCCATGACACGTACTGATCAGAAAATCTTGTAATCGATGTAAAACAAACGAATGATTCACGCTCGCGATTGCATCGTCGCGTTCCAAATAAACCATTAACTCAAAGGAAATGAACGATTGTACATATCTAAGCAGTTGCAGTTATTTTCGCATAAATAAACGAATTAACAAAGTTACTAAAAAAAAAAATGTAAAAACACGTATCCCTGACAAAAAGTATTTAATATGGCCTAAGAAAAAGCTCTTAGCGTCAAAATCAAAATTTCCACTTTTATTTCAATAAGTTCTTTCGCAATGTGTTCAAGTTTTTCATTTACCCTCGTATTTTACATCATTATAAAACCACCACTTAATTGACAAAATAGGAGATTTAGTAATCGTTCGTACATTGCCAGACCCTAGATGTTTTTCTTTTCTTTTTCTTTTTTTTCAAAGGATGTCCAATTTATTGCGCACAAATCAAGAACGTTTACTCAAAATAGTACAAATTCGCATCAGCGTAAGGTATGTTCAAAAGTACCTAAGAAAAAGACACGTTCTTTATGTTCTACCGTCGTGTTGCCAAAAATCGAACGTTGGCATGGTAATTCTCCGTGGTCTTCTGGGTCTCACAAAAAACAATCACTACCCGTCGGTTATAATAGAGGCGAACGCTGGATGTATTACACAATTCACGTTAGGATAATGTGGGGGGGACTTACGATTTTTAACATTTACTTACAAAGGACAATGTCGTTCAGTCTATTGCACATGTTCTGTACTGGTGCTACACGTTAGTATACACGAAAGTAACGGTTAGACTGCGGATGTATATGCAAACTCCCGTTTGTAAATACATACTTATTTCATTGAAATCAAGATCAATGAAAAATTAACATCTAGTTTATACGAATGTTTCAACAGTGTCAATATACAAGCATATTTACATAAATTTGTTTCAATAATAAAATATATAATCGTTCAATAGTGTACTTGATAATTTCATGCGTGAAAGTAATAGTAAAATAAGTACAGTAGTTTCACATACTTGCATATTCTATACGTGCATAAAATCCGCAGTCTAATAACCGTGTTTTCTTTTTTGCATAAACCGTTGCTTATTGAAGAAGAACCGTGTTTCTCTTTTCTCTCGTTTAATTCGTTAAGCTTTCTTTCTCTCGCTCTATCTCTCGCTCTCAGTCCTAAAGAATACCAGAGAAACGTGTTAGGGCTTCGTTATTTTCTGTTCCGAAAAGGCATATTTCAGTGTGAAGTCATGTATAAATACAGTCACTGATTTTTGTACGACAGTAAGATTTTATTTTACAGACTTTTACATTTTCATTTATCCCTTCCTCGCAGTCTATATTAGGTCCGAGTGTGGCAAAAAAATTTCAAGAGTAAACATAGAACTATCATTGGAAATTCGTTAAATGAAATCTCTGATACAGATGAAAGATGTGAGTCAAGAAAGAAAAAGAAATGTTATTGGGGACTCATCTTCGTGCACGAAGAGAAGTGTCAGGGGGCCCTCAAGCGGGTCACAGTGAAAACAGATCTGGACACGCATTATGTAATATGTAACACTTGTTCACCTGAAAGTCTATTAACCCCTGGACGTACCATTTAGCCCGACGAAATCCGGGCCAAAGTAATGTGCGGAAGTGTTAAGTTTTCTGTTTAGGTTCGTTACTGTCGAGGCTGTTTAGATTTCAGACCACGAGGACTGACTCGTGATATTCATATTTGGCCCAAAATTCTGATCCCGAGTCAGACTCGTCAAAGTACGACAAGGGTTTAATAGGCTTTTTGGCGGTAATGCTTACCGAGAAGGAAGTCTATCGATTTTCCGTTAAACAAGAATAAAAAACGAAATTATTATGTTATATACTTAAAAATAATATTAAATAACCCCCAGTAGGTACAGTGTTCATAATATCGAATTGAATTGTACATTATAAAAATGAATCGAAAGAAAGTGACTCTATATAACGAAATATTCTTCATATTCGAAATGAAATAATAAAAACGGAAAATTCTTTATCTGAGGTTCGGTGTTTCTGTAATACGAATAATTTTCATTCAACAATGCCCGGGATCTGACCGAAACTCAGGAAAGGAAAAGAAAATCATTCGAATAAATCCCCAAAACAGATCGTTTATTGATCAAAAAATAAGGGACGATAATAATTAAGAATTTGATTCTTTTTCACTTTGAAATATACCAAACCATACTTGTAAGTAACTCTAAAACTGTTCGGTGCACGCTCCTAGTACATACAAAGGTGTAGGCAGGAGGGGGGAGGGAGTGACGTTTTCGGAGCGTGCACACGCAGTGTGCAATTTATAGTAACAGTGTGTCTGCAGTCTGTGTCGTGTAATAGGCAGATGATTTCTTTTTTTTAAAGTACGCATTTATAAATTATGCATACACCTACACACAACATGCTCTATCTCTCACATTTTTTCTTTCTTTCTCTCTCTCATTGGTATCATACCATCATTTTCTCCCACTTTCGCGCGATTTCTCTCTCTCTCTCTCTCTCTCTCTCTCTCTCTCTCTCTCTCTCTCTTTCTCTCTCTCTTTTTTATCTGTTTTCATCTGTATCGTACGTTTTTGCTCTTTTTTTCCATTTTTATTTTTTAGAAGACCCTATCTAACCCCCACATTATCTCACACAAAGACTAGCGTTTTTAAACGATCCAAAATAAACTAAGGGCACTTTTAGTGGCGTATGCCCTGTTCTTACACGTCGAGTTTCATGAAAAATCTAATTCTGACCGTTGTTCAACTTTGTTGTTGGTTTTCTTCGTCGTTTCTTCATCGTGTTTTTTCCATTTTTTTTATTACAGCACCTATCGACTTCTAAGAGTCCCTATATCTTAACTAGCTATGACACACTTGCCTTAATCTAGAATTTTCATTACGTGCTATGCCTCGCCATCTTAAAGTATCCGAACCCTAGGTATTTTTTTCTTACTTCTTCGTCGCCATTTTCATTTTTTTTTCTCTCTCTCTCTCTCACACACACACAAACACACACACACACACACACATACTCTATCTTTCTCTCATTTTTAAATCAATCCTCGTTACGGGGATGCGGAACTCGACCTCACCTTGGTGTGACACATTTCGAGAACTCTTTGGCTCTCCTTTCGTATTCTCTCGATTGTTGGTCGCACACACCGCGTAACAATATTTGTGAGACGAAACGAAAAAAACAAAAAAATTAAGCAGACGGTACGGGTATTGTTTTTCTTATTTTTGTTTTTTTTTTGGAGAATTACGTGTTCTCTCGTCTCGAGACGCGAAAGAATACGAATCTATTTAGACCAGGGTGTAGTAGACTAAGGAGGGGAAGAGAAGTTCGCGCAAGAGCTGACGTTTGAAAAAAAAAACAGCAAAAATAAGAAGTGGTCAACGTGGAAAAAATCTCTCGTTACAGCTAGTAAGAAAGAAATAAAAAGAGAGAAAAACCTATCGCTTAACAATGTAAAACAACATGACTTAAGACTCGACGAACCTAGGGGGACTCTGTACACACAAGTCGAAGTATGATGATGTGTCGCGACATCATCAAAAGTCCAACTGGGGACTCGCTCTTCGCTTAAGCCGATTTTTTTCTCGACTAACAAGTTACTTTTTTTTCCTTTTACTTAAAAAACACCCTAAGTTTTTTTCATTTTATTCTCATCTTTCTACAATCAGCCTACAACTACGTGTCCTAATGTGTGTGTGTGTGTGTGTGTGTGTGTGTGTGGTGTGGTGTGGTGTCGTGTATGTATGGTGTGTGTGACTCTCTGTCCCGTGTATGTTTTTCTGTGTGTGTAATTCTATATCTAAAAAGAGGCTACCGCTAGAATTCTAGTTGAAAGCTTACGGAAAGCAGCATTGCTTTGGAAACAGAAGGTTTCCAAAATGGTATTTTATTTTTTTTTTCTTCGTAAATCCACGCCCGGTCAGCCCAAGCACCCGACCCGCGGTGCGCAGCAAGCAGTCCTTACTATTTATATTACAGTAGATAATATGTTGTAGAATAATATAATATTTATTATTAATATGAATAGCCAGTCAGTCTTGACGGGTGCGAGGTGCATAGGCTGAACGGTGCCTCTCGTCATTCGATGCGCGTTCAAACGCACGCGCGCACATACAGAGAGGCAGTTGTAACCTAACTATCGGCTAACTATCTACCTAAACTTAATCACTTAATCGATTACTTCCTATCCAAAATCGTGCCTAACCTATTTCTCATAGTCAACACTAACTACACAACATCTTCTCGCTGTGTCCTTCTTCACGTTCTATACAAATAGTTACGCGCGCTCGCTCGCTCTTATCTTCACTTTCACTTTTTTCTTTCTTTCTTCTCTTTCTCTCTCTTCCTTTAACCTCTCAGTCTATCCTTCATACATTTAGTTTTGCACCTTTCACTCTCTCACTTTCATTCGATCATTCTCTTTATTCCCTCTCAAATCGTTATCCACCTTAGATTCTTGATTCACTTCTCTCTTTCTCTTGCTTTCCTTTCGTTCTTTCTCCGTTCTCTGCCCGCTCTCCAGTGCGGCTCCGTATCTGCGGTGGGGAGCTGGCGTTTTCCTTTAGTCGGCCGAACCCGATTGTGTTCTTTCGCTCGGTCAGCAGCTATAAATGCTGCTCTCATTTCGTTTGGTCGTCACAATAATTAATTAGTTATTTAGTACAAGTCTATTAGTAAAATTCTTCAAAATTCACTATTAAATCACATGTGATTTTTGTTGTCAGTCGTGAGTGACAATCCGCTTGTGCAAACAATTTACACGCTCGCAAATAGGTTCTCCCTTTCGCCTCTATTTCTCTTTCTCTCTCTCTCTCTCTCTTTCTCTCTATCATCCTTTCTCTCTTTAAATCTCCCTCAATGCATGGACTCAAATCGAGTAATAATCGGTCTCTTAAAAAATAGCTCATACCACTTTTTTCATCTTTTATCTCTTGTCATCAAATCGTGATGTACCAAAATAAACTAAATATATTATTTACTTCAAGTCTCAACAGTGTAAAAATCTTTCATACTTTAGATGACGTCAATAATAGTAATCGTTAATTATAATAATACAGCATTATTATTGTAATATTATAATAATAGCTACGATCGCCTCTAACTCTATCTAACTACCTGCCCGCCACTTCGAGCCCGGAGCTCGCAATATTTGGTAGAAAGCTTTCTTGCTAATCGTTCCCCTTTTGACTCGATCTAAAAGTCAGACAACGGTGAAAAACTGTTGTGCCGGATGTAGAAAAAAAAACGGGCTTAGAGGAACGCCAGGAGAGGAGGGTTTTTTGTTCTCGTTTCCCTTCTTTTATACATCTCATTGCTCGTTTCGTTTCTCCCTAGAGACACCCCCGCACACGCGTGTGTAGATAGAAAATCCTCGATTTCATAAGTTTCGTCCTTTTATTTTTCGCTGTTCTTTCTCTCTCTTTTTTGTTCGTTCCTCTCGCTTATCGTTCTCCTCCAGTCCCATTGTCTACTCGTCGTTTTTCATTTTTCTTCCCTTTCCATTTAGTAACACGTTATTCGTTTCGTTTCGATATAATAAATTAATTTACACTCTATCTATTTCGTATCCCGTCGTGTAACAAGCTCCTACTCGTTTACTCGCTCCTTACGTTCTCTCTTTCTCTCTCTCTCTCTCTCTCTCTCGCTCATGCTCTTCCTTCTCGCGCGGGCGGTCTCTCTGTGTATGTGTGTGTGTGTGTGTTTTTTTTCTTTTTTATTAAATCTTGGTTTACAATGAACCCGCCGTTTGATTTCTTTTAATATTATTATTTTTTTTTCTTGTTCCTAAGACTCCGCACACGAGCCGCACAGTGTGGTTTTTTCGGCCCGTTTCCCAATCCCGTTAGTGGCAACTATACACATACAAAATCTATTCGAAATCCGAATAACCGAAAAACAAACGCAGTGATATTTAAACTGGCTACAACGCAAAAACAATTATATTTCTCTTAACTAGAAGATCAAAATTTGGCTCGAGTTTCGCAATATTACATACCGACGTAAAAATATATTATAATTATTTTTTCCAGCATATCCCTTGTCTAGTGGATTTGTCTGAAAAAGGCACAATTCTAAAAAAAATATCTGTATTCACTGTACAATTAAAACTGATATTCGATTCGTAGTAACTGTACTCATAAATATAAATCCTCTAAAAAGTACTATGTTCCTTTCGTTCATTGTTACAATAATTACATATTATCCTGAAAAGGTTTTGTTTCCTTTTTAGAAATAAAGCTTCTCATTTCTATTTTATTTTCACTTCTCAATTGTTTTTTTTTTTGTTCCTTTTGTTAATCTTGCTTCCTTTAATGTTCGCGTCTTTTTTGCGTTTACTTTTAAAATATTCGTCCGTGATTTAAAAAAAAAATAAAAAAAAAGGAAAAGAGAATCGCGAAGTGTACTCGTAAAAAGTAGATAAAAATCTCCGCGTGGCAATACATACATACAATATATGTGCCTGGCTTGGAATGTCTGAACAAAAACAGAAGAAAACAAAAAGAAATAATTATTGTGTGATGAGAGTGCAGTTCATGGATGGGGTGGTGTGCGCTGTTAAGGAAGAGTTTGTCCTCAGCATCTTCGCGGAGGGGTGGGGAAAAAAACACTGATCGATGCCCTCTTCTTTTGCAGCTCAGCCACCGGCCAGCCAGCTGGCACAAGTCCGGTAGGTACTGATTACAATCAACTGAATCTGAATGCTTTTTTTTTGTTTTCTTTATCAACTCTAGCATTTGGAAGTGCTTTTGTTTCTCTGTATATTATTATTATTATTATTTCTTGGGAAGAATTCTCCTTTGTATATTTCTGAGCAGCGTTTCTTTTATAGTTTACAGTATTTTTTTTTTGTTAAAATATTTATTCACACTCTCAAGCGTTCAGCTTCGACTTATCGTCTCCTTAGTAAATGTAATACCTAAAGTTAATCCTGGAAGCCTATCAGCTTGACACTAAACTGTCCGTCGCAGAATATCAATTTTTTTTTGTCACTGTCGTAATGATGTGTTGGCGGTTACAGCGTATGGAGCCGTGCTGGTGCCGAACAATGTAGATGACACGAGCACTCGTACCCCCTTTCTTATGACAACATTCATTCTCTAACCGTTGGAAAATATTAACTACTTTCACCTATTTATCTGGTGGATAAAATGTATAAAAGATGGCTGGCAAGTCAATTATCATGAGGAAGAATCTTATCTGACTTTATGTAATGTATTTAGTCTCATCTATTCTTCATTAATATAATCCTTCGTATCAACAGGTGTGGCTCTCCTAACTCACATAACCCTCGGTGTAATCGTATCTGAAATACCACAATTCCAAATTTATATAACATTTTTCCGAACGTTCGTATTCTTTTTTTTTTATCTCAGACTTATCGGTGTACAGGCGCACTGACACTTCGAATGGTTAATGAATATTGTTCATACCTAAAAACCATAGCCTACTTAGGCTGCTGAGCTTGGTATTGTTGATAGGAGTCATCAGGAGATGCCGCGTTACTTGTCTGTTCAGAATCACCCAATGGCATGGTATGAATAATGCTAGGAGGGTAAGTAGTGTAAGGATAGGGATGCGGGCTTGCTGCTATGTACTGGAAAACGCAATATTTAAAGAGATATTGATTTGAAGCGACAAATGACGTCTAGATGCAAAACACGTCGGAGAAAGGGTGATACTTACGGAACCAGTGCCAAGATGTAATGTAGACATTTGTGTAGTAAGTTGAGGAATCATACTGTACTGCGGGTTGCTAGGATCAGCTGATGGCATCATCTGTAAAATTGCGTTCACATTAAGTTCCTATGTTTGAATATGTTTGTCGTCCGTATTACTATCAGTATTAACCCTCTAGTCTCGGGGGACCATATTCGGGACGTAAAGTTCGTGGTGAAGTCTACGAGACTCCTGAACTTTTAGATTATATATATATATAGTGATTATATATATATAATCACAATATATACAACACATTATATACAAGATTCTTGACAATTCTCTTTCCTGTTTCAATTTAGGTATCCATTTTCTTAATAAATACCACAGAGTAAAGAGGTGCGTTGTATTAATTTCTTACATTTAATTGAAACTGATGCAACTACAGAAAAGAAAAGAGTAAGACAAATAGAACGTATACATTTACAAAATAAATCTTTGTAAAGAAAAGTTGCAAATGCAAACATAAAGTTTCTATAAAGGAAAACAGCATTTATGAAGTACGACGGAAGAATGATACACCGCTTCGAATAAATGAGAAATATAAAAATATGCTAACTAAGCAGATAGAGGAAAAAGAAAACAACAACAAAAATTTGTACAAAAACTCACGTCGACCTGTTGCATGTGTGGAGGGGCAGTCTGCACCAAATATGGAGTGACCCATGGGGTTCCTGGTACACTGTAGCCAGGTAAAGCTTGGCCATAATGACGACTATATTGTGTTAAAGTAGCTGCAGGTAGCATATGAGTCGTTGCAACCCCATTTTGACCAACGCCACTTGTATCGTAATTCAGTGTCATGTTCTATAAAAGTACACATTACAACTAGTAAGACTATGTAATATGTATTATATACGATCCTACATTTCCTGTAACAAAGTCAATTACCTCTCCAGTTTCTCTCCATATTGTACTTTTGTATAATGATTTTTTCTTGTTACCACCATCAGCAAATTTCACCAATAGAGGGTCTTTAGCCCCTTGCAGTGCTTTTCCATTAAACATCTGGATTATCTGTTCACATTTTTCTTTGGACTCCATTCTGGGGAGGAAATATAAGTTACTTGAAACGTCAAATATTCGAGATGTAACTGTGTCTAGACTGCGGATTTTATGCATTTATAGCACACACACACGAGTGTCAAATATAATAAAAAAAAACTGGTGAATATTTTATTAAATTTTAATACAAATCGACAATGTAAATATTCAGTCAGCTCTGGCGATATTATAAAAGGATCTTTAAAAAAATATCTCAATTCGCATAAACATCCGTAGCCTATTAATATCAGTAATCAGTGCAATACTAGTAACAAATGCAAACAATGCTAACCTTGCAAATCCAACACCTTTACTTTGTCCAGCAGTATCACGTAATATACGCGTTGAAATGACTTGCCCATACTGAGCGAGTAAAGTCTCAACATCACTTTCTTTGAAGCTCAGTGGTAGGTTTGCAATATATAAATTGGTGGGGTCCTGCTCCTGTTGCTGAGAAGAGAGTAAAAATACTATGCAACTTATTGTAATACATTCCCTCGATGTGTATATATGTATTCATATAAATATAAATTTCAAAAAAGTCATATCTATCATTTTAACATTCATGACTGAGATATAGATAATATTTGCATGTTTCTGCGTAACTATGAATGAAGACGAACGAATGCACAGACGATACCACTACAATGATAAATTAGTAAATATCACAAGAAGTTTTTTTAATGTTTCAATTACAAGATAAACCATCGGTATTATGTCACACTTTTATATGTTTATCATACGATTCAAACTAATTGGATTCGAATGTTAATTAGAGTCCCTTACGTGCCATAAATCCACTACGAATGTTAAAATGATAACTCAAAATTAAATTTTTAGACCAATACTATAAAATGCAAGAAATTTGGAAAACTAAAATTTACATAGTATTTAAAACAAATCTCTCATTAATACTTTCTGATTGTCAAAAAATTACGTATATCTCTACAAGGTACTACTCAAAGGACCATTGAACTATGACGATTATTTTAATCTAATTTTGAGTATACCAATGGACAAATATTGAAAAAGATTTATTATGAATCAAGATAATAATATTGTTCTTAATATTGAGAGGCGTCATGCTTCAGGGCATTACGTTACCACATACTGGTGGTTCTCCAAATCTGCTTTGTGGATGCTTGTGATTTAGTCAAATTTAAATGTATCCTGCGTTTATGTGCAAAGCATGCTCACACGTAAAATACACTGTGTTTTTCGTAAAACTTCTTTTACCAAATCAAACAAAATCATTAATTATGATCTACATGTGTCTATAACATTCACTATTCAACAGTACATGTTACTGATTCAAAAACAATAATTGACAAACAAGTAATAAATCTACAAAAAGTCATGGTAGTGAATATCGCCTGTGCAATCATTCCTTATTCAATGCGAATAATAAAATAAAAGATATATATTATAATAAGAGCGTCAGGTATAGACTTCTTTCTGTGGAGTGTAATTAAATATATTTGTAAGTTTAAATCTTCTTTCTCACAATTGACGTAATACAAAAATTTCAGGAAGGAACATTCACAATTTTTTGCACTTGTACTGTTTCTTTAGGATTCTCTGTGTTTATTTTAACGATCATATATATGCTTATGTCACAAATCACAAGTACGTAACGCAAACCATCTAATCACGTTTTACTAGACAATATCGAGAGTAACCATTCAAAGCGGTAATATAGTTCCAATCACATATGACACGTCATTGGATACAAGCATGATAAAAAGCACAGGCATGTTCACATATATACAGTTATATCATAAGACAGAAAATTAAAGTGAGCTACATTATCTCACAATATCGCAGAAAACACATTGTATGTAAGATATATGCACATACATATACATGTGTTCATGCTTAAGTTCTCTTTGCTTAATGATTCTCATACATAAAGAACAAAAAGGAAAAGATACATATATATATATACATACATACATACGTATATGTATATATATGTATATTATATATATATACATACATACATACGTATATGTATATATATATACACATTAAACTTAACTCTAACTTGAATTCAATATTTATGCACCCTCAAGCATATTTTGAGATCCACCATTTCTCTCAAAAAATCAATCAACTCTACAGTTACTTGAATATACTTATACTTTACGACAATTTACTTCAATCTTGCGAATGCATTAAAACAAAAACATAAATAATGAAAATATTATGATATAAGCCAAGCTGATGGCATTATATATGTATATATATATTTATTAAAATATTATATACATATGCACACATATATGTACACATATGAATATATATACATATGTGTGTGTGTGTCTTTTTCGTGTGATAAAACCATAATATATCTTAATGACTTTATATTCTTAATAAAATGATTCACATCTTGATCAAGTGCGAATGTGTATAAAGGATTTTACGTTGCATCTGTTTATGAATATTCTCAAATACGTTAACAAGTACATGACAGGAAATTGTAAAGTATAGTAGCAAATGAAATTATTTATAACTGTTCATATCTACCACTAAAGTGCTACAACCACTGCAAACTGAAAACTTTCCGAAACTCCCAAATACACATCCAACTTTGCTTTGGTGTGCTGGTTAAACTTTATTATTTAAGCCAAGTGTGTCAATCAGAGCCAACCAACACCCCACGAATAAGATAGCACCTGATCTTCACATAGCACCACTAACTGGTAAGTAAGTACCATGTACCCTGAGGACAGTTAATAACGGGTACATTATTTAGTTGTATCATATCACATGCGACTGACATCATCACAGCTGCTGATGGCACCCCGTGCTTTTACCGCGGCCAGATTAGAAGAACCATTCCAAGTTAGTTTTCTGGATAATAAATGTAGGCAGGAGCCAATCATTTCTTTTTGCAGTATGCGTATGTAGGTATAAAAAAAAAAAAAAAAAAAAAAAAAAAAAGTAACAGTCAAATGAGATTCCAACAAATAAAGGTAAGCCATCCTTTGTGATATTTATTATACCACGACATAGGGCACACAACCTATACTGTATTTATACGCGAACGTTTACTACTACTGTCATATCTCAAAGCGATCGATTTTAATAATATACTCTGCGGAATTTTGATAGTATGACAATGAACTGCCAAATTCTTTTACACAGGACATAGACACAGATATGTGAGTACATTAGATCGTTTGCTAAAGGCTTCAATTAGTGCTGAAATGAATGCATTTTTTTCAAACATGAATTATAAATGTGTTGACACAGCAGTATCAGCAATTTGTGGCCGAGGTATAGCAACAAGCGTCAATAGTTTGGTAGATACGTAAGACAGAATGATAGACAGAACTGGTGAATACTAGAGATTGTCAGACAAGTGAGACAGGTTCCAAAAGGAAAAGTTTCATATTGTTTCATTCAAAGAGGTCTTTCTTATTGTACCTATTTTAAACGGTGCATAATTGCCTGTCACTATATTTTCACTGTTAGTAAAATATTTCACTTAAGTGTAGTATAAATTCACGTCCGAAATGACACTTTAAAAATATAAATACTTACGTTATAAAACTATATCTGAGATATTAAATTCTAATCTATTTAATTTTTATTATCAATGAAAATATAGTTTCTACTCGAAACCACCCCTCTAGTAATAGTACTTTTCCTTTTTAAAGGGACTCTATTATTTAATTGGTTTATTACATTCGTAATTAGCCTTTCTCACTTGTCGTTACATCCAAATACTTCCAATTTTTTAAATAATCTTTACGAAACTGGTAATCTTGCTTTAATCAGATATCACTATACTAAAAACAGATTTCCTACATAACGCAATAGTTATGAAATACTAAGTTTTTGTCCAGATATAAATTCTAAGCATGTCTAGAGGGGCTGAGAGCAGAGCAATGATGCCATTGGGATGATGCCATGCTTGTCTTTTTTTAACTTTACTTGAAAGCGGATAATCTAACAGATTTTTTACGCTTTTTTATGGTAGCCTGATTTGTTGGAACTGACTTTTGTTTTTACAGTGATTACAGAATAATCATATGTAACTATATTTCGTTATGTAATTATTCAAGCTAATTGAAATTGTATATTATTACTTTCGTATTTAACATTTTATAAGATTCTATTCTACCATAAAATGCTATGAATTGCTACATTACTGTTTCGCCGAAAATATACTTGAGAAGTGAATTAAAGAAACTGGGGCAACACGACTGATAATTGTTCTTTTTCTTTAGAACTGCGAGTAGATAATAGAAGACAACCATGGCATCCACTGTGATTGAACTTTCAGTACTTTCTTATCCAACGTTGTATGATAAATAGTCTATCGAAATACTGTATATACGTCTGTATGTCACAGTAGTACTGGAATAAGAATTTCTCTCACATTAATGGCATTTAATAATCATGTATCGATGGGGGTGTAAAGGGTATGTGAAAGTATGCGAAAACAGGAGGAGCACAGATGGACACAGAACAGGGTTAGAAGACTTAAGAGAAGAGAAACGAAGTAAAAAAAAACAGAAAACAAAAGAATGTGGAAAGAAAGAAACAGAGAGAGAAACAGAGAGAAAGAGAAAGAGAGGAGAGACAGAAAGAAAGGGGAAACAGAAAGAGAAAGAGAAGAAAGGTTTACTGTTACTCTGGTATTACTGTACTTGCATGCACAACCAACGTACACTGGGCAGTCTACGGAGCAACCAGATACCCACTTTCGCCATCTGCGCTTGGATGCCCTTGGCGACCAGTGCTTTCACAGCACCCTCTGCCGCCACTGGTGACTCAAAGTCTACAAATCCATAACCTGCAACACACAATTGAAATGCACATTAAGAGACGTGATTATTACTTATTAGACGTGAAACATAAAGGTATAACTGACAGTTATATCCCTATGTAAAACTGTGTCATCGAACCTGAACTTTACAAAGCAAAAACACAGTGCAAAGTTTGAAAAAGTACCTTTACATTTATTCGTGTTTTTATCCAAAATTGCCTTTGTAGAGGTGATTGTTCCATATCTGCAAAAACACAATGTATTAGAAACATTATTCTCCCTCTATGTTGGAAAGAACTTGTAATTCCTCTTGTATGTTTTGTGTTACACGAGTGACTTACTGAGAACACATGTTAACGAGGTCCTTGTCAGTTGTATTTTGGTTGAGGCCACGGATATACAAATTTGTTTTCGACAGTTGTTCTGCCTGCTGTCCTTGTATAGCATTATTGCTAAGACTTGTGCTCATTGTCCCACTTTGGCTACCAGTAGCACTGCTACAACTACTGTTGGTGTTAGCTGGGGAAGAGGCTGCAGGCACCCGCTGTCCTCCATACTGTAAAATACAAAAAATATTAAATGTATACGTGACTTTACAATTGTTTATAATAAACATTGTATTTTTGTCAAGCCAGCTTTGATAGAAAATTTTCTTTAGTAGTAGTATTTACAATAAATAAACAATTACTAATTAACTTCAATTAATTGATAAGCAATTTTAAAGCATGGTTATTACATTTGTTAATTAATTAATATACTACAAAAATCGATAGGTTGGACTTCTGAAGGTAAAAACACACCCACCCATGTGTCACAAGATGTATAGTTAGTACTAGCCCCGCCCGAAAACAGGGGTTAAAATCATCATGGTATAATACGCGACGATCTCCCTTTATTTATCATTCCTTCTAAATGAGCATACTGTTATGATATGACATTACTATCAAAATAATATTCGACCAGTCAGCAATAATCTATCCTCTACGTTCGAGCCGGCCAATTCGAATAACGAAGATGAGCAAATGGATAAGTATGTTCTGTTTCGTTTCATTTAAAACAGACATGTACTCCCACAGATCAATAAGGAAGCTTCGTGTCAAATCAAGGGGACATAGAATCCTCCATAAAAGATCAAGTGGGAAGAGAACTTTAACAAGATCGCGCATCGTGCGTGAACAGTATGCCGCGTTGTCATGGCCCCACCCGATTCGCGAAGAAGGGGGGCTTAACCCTCTCGTTGCGCAAAATCTACCGAGCTTTTTCACTGATTATCTACTTCTAACAAAACTACAATTCTCCCGTCAAACCTGTAATCGTTCCCATCATAAATTACATAAACTCGAAAGAATAGGTACTTTAAAATGTCCTATTGTTTGTCTCCAGTATTTCATATGGGTATATTTCTCGTGCCTTTCAAAACAATAATTAATATGGTCCACGATTGTCTATACTGCAACGTACACATAGATAGTATAACAAATACAGTGACCTCCTTGAGACCCATTCGAGTGACCGGTTAACGCCACTACAATTCCCGGTATATTTCAACCAATCAAGCCCTCGTTGTCGTAAAAATATCTCCAACTTATAGAAACGTACATTTTCTAAACATATAAAGCAATAACCTCATTAGAGCCAACTCATTATATGCGTTCCATAGCTTTCAAAAATGGGTCCGCTGTCTAAACATAAAACTACCATCTATCGTCAGCCCATCAGGAATAGCCAAACCCACCACCAGATTAACCATAGTCGTTCAACTGTTGACATTCTAAAAAAAACACTCAAGATCTTTATCGCCCACCACCTTACGTTTCACAAATTCACGCACATTCGTCCCAGCGACAATACATTACCGGTATACGTACGTCACTTATGAGACAGTCATGGGACTTCAATGATGTTTCAGTTTTAAAAGGTTTAAACCGTTCGAAAGTACCAGACGAAACTGAATCTGAACCCCGCGGATTCGTTTCGCGGACCAACACGAAAAAACGAGATAGAAAAGACGACTTACCGACGCGTGTTGTGCGTAGGTGGCGGTGGCGTAAGGATTCGCCGCAGGCGGTAGTTGCTGTGCTCCGACGGGCATCTGGCCGGCCGCCGCAGCCGCGGCCGCTGCGCTTGGGTACCGCGTGTACGGCGGATATGCGGCTGCCGCCGCCGCCGCGGCCGCAGCCGCGTGAGAGGGTGGCCCCGCGCCCCAGGCGGCGGCACCGCTCGCACGATACTGTACCGGGTTCCCGCCTCGTGGACCGCCGCCGGTATTCCCCTTCAATCCGTGCCCGCCACCGCCGCCACCTCCGCCGCCGCCACTCGTTGGACCGACGCCGACGCCACCGCCACCGCCGCCGCCTCCGCCGCCGCCGCCGCCACCCCCGGCGCCACCGGCGTTACCATTGTTAGCACCCACGTACGTTGGTCTCGGACCGTTCGTACCCTGAAATATCAAAAGAGTAAACGTGTTATTTCATCGTTCGGATCGGCACGAAACGACGCGGTATTACGTTATACATGCTACATATTGAAAACGTTAATTCAGTAAATGTATATGTATATATTTCCTAGTAATGAATACATTTACTAGAAACAGTATACGTTCTTATATTCGGGTTAAACTTCTAAAATCGTACGTGACGTAATGCATACGTTCACTACTATGTGTATACATTTAATAAACTTCACGGTTTTACTGTGACATACACACACGCCAAACGAACAAATCACAGAAACGCGAAGGGGTGTTTTTAAAAAGTGTTCTACCACTTGGTAAATTTATTCCAAATAGTGAAATAAATGTTAAATCAAATGTTAATTTGGCATACATTTCAGTAATTCCAAATAACAAGTGGTAGAAGGCTCTTCTCCTACGCCACTTTTTCTCCTAGTGGAAGCCGAGTTTGCTCAATGAGGGAACATAGCCAAACGGACCTTTATTCCCTACTAATCAAACAATATTAGGAAAACAAAGTTACAATCTGGTTATATCGAGATTTCGATCGCAATACTATGTGTAAATCACTTTATGTAGCACAAATTAGGCAGTCTAAATTTAGCAAGTGTATACCGACTGCAGTGCAGTTAATTGAATGTGCAGTCACGCGAAGTACAACATTTCCCAACGCGACGGAGACCAGCGACGACGTGACGAGACGTATATATACAATTCGTCCAGAGGAACGATGAGTAACCAAGCGATAAACCGTATGAGGCGTTCGGGGACAATTTATATTGCCTTGAGAACTTCTGGGCCAGGACGAATGGCCGTACGGCCATGACAAAAGAAACGAAAACGATGACAGTTTCCAATGTTAATCATCACCTAATCTACAGGGTGATACGCATAACTTCCCCAGCACCGATAAATTCATAGAAATGTGATTGTACACTGACGAGCAAACTCGGCTTCCGCCAGTAATATAATTGAATATCGAACCACTTCCCGCCCTTTTTCAACGAGGACCAATATTATCGAATTACTTTTAATAAACATTGACAACAAATATCATTATTGCCACACCAAATATATTCGAAACATTAAATCCGTCTTACCCTTCACAAAAAATAATCAGAGTCCCCGAATACGAGATTGAGTAATCTGTTATGTCAAGTAAATAATCTTATCGGTAATTACCGAAAGTTCCACCAAGACTGACACTGAACTTCAAACGGAATTCAATATTATTTTTAGGCGAGACTTGCAAGATACCGAGTGTTCCCTTATCGAAAATTTCACCTTGATTGTATCGACGCCCGGATAAAAAGAGAGGGTCAATTCGTTATCAGGGGAGAGAATCATCGAAGTCTATCGCTCGACGTTCCTCGCGTTCTAATAATAATTATATTCATAAATCCACGGGAAGACGGCGTTCCGTTGCATCAACACGAAATATATTCTTGAAATAATAATCGTCCGGGGGAGACTCGACGCAGTTTATCGAACTTTTTTTCGTTGGCTATCTTCAAAGATACCTATATGTATGGTCCCGCGGAGAAGACGCAGCCAGTCGCTGAAATTATGATGCATAGACACGCGATATACGCGATATACGTAAGGGGATGGGGGTGGGGGGACAATAATTTTCTTGTCAGAATAATCAAAGAGTCACGGGACTCATCCTGTGGTCGGGTTGATTGCCGTGCAAAAAAAAGAATAAATCCGCGACGAACGCTTCCCTCGTGATCCCCGCGAAAGGACTTTCTCGTGTCGGCCGCCTCTGCATCGGACGTCGTGGCTCTCGCAGGACAAGACGCCTTTTCCAGGACTTTTCAGCGGTTGCACATTCCGTGCCACTTTAGAAAGGCCCGCCGCCGCCTTCCTCCCCACCCCTTTCGTCGATTTGCATTTTTGGCATAACTGTGATAACGCTGTTTACCGTTTGCCGAGAGAAAGAGAGAGACAGATGGCGTCCGAAGCGCAGAGGCAAAAGGAAGACAGAAAGAGAGAGTAGCCCTCCACCCCCCCACCACCCTATGGCGGCGGTTGATTCTGAAAGTCACGACTGTTAATCACGTATCACACGGATACTCGAACCTTGTCACTTCCTGCACACCAGTTTTCGATCTACTTCTTTCCTTGATAACCAGGGGAGAAGGAGGACTAAGAAGGATTTGGTTTTGTCGCCTGCATCGAATGTATACTACATTGAATTGTATAATATAGTAATAAACGTGATACCACAGACGAGGTATAGGAGTAGACATTTCATTTTCTGGGGTTACGTACCCCATTTCCATTTTAGTGTCACTACCCATCGCAGATTCACAAATTGATCCTCTATCGATCTATGATACAAAGAATAGGTCATTCCGTTAAAAAAAATCACGATGACCTTGAGATCTCAGAAATGCCTTTACCCACAAAAAAGCGCGTACCTTATAAGATGTGCCAAAATTTCCATAAAATGTACCCCGCTAAGTCATTATTCGAGGTGATCAAGTTAGTTGATACACCCTGTATATGTACTGAACGTTCATACAGAGGTGCATCAAAGTACGCAGCAGAAACCTTATCTCTGTATGCCCTTGAACTTGCAAACAGAAAATGATGAATAACACTAATTCTTACGGGCCTGGAACGTTATCAGTCCGAGGTCCCGTGACTCATAGGGCCAACAAGAATCGTGGCACGTCCAACAGAAACACGCAGCAAAACACGATCCGACACGGGGATTTCCACCCGAGGCTTTCGAATCGTCTTATTCCCATCGCTAGATACGGTGCACGTTACAATGATGCGCAGACGTGGTAAGCAGGAAGTGGCATCCGGTCGGTACATCACGATACCCATTTCACACGTCGTTCTCTATTTCGCAGTGACCAACGGCCATACGTTGTCTGCATGCCGTTCAATTGAACCGGCGCGGCGGCTGGCGGCGTCTACGGTCAAATCGTTCGACTCGTTATTGTGCCGTTAGGAGCTTCTGCGACACGTCAGCCCCCTTATTGTGCCTGACCGATGATGCCGATTCTCCTGTCTTAAGGAGGTAGGGGAGACCGGGGTAGATTGTAACAAAAAAAGTTTTCAAAAGTTTTGTACAGCTGGAATGACAATCCTAGGCTGTCTTTTACACCTTGGATGCTGAACACCTGACAACATTTATCTAAAGATAAATAGAATTGAATTTGGAAGCATGTATCTTTGGAGATATCTTAAAAGTTACCTTGTCCCAACCGTTGTTCCGTCAGGCTCGAAAAGGTTAAAGGACAAATGGCGCGATGAAGATAGAAACCCCTGTAATTTACATACAATTACAAAGCAGATCACGCCGTACCATCAGAGATTCAACGTGACCTTGATCCTGTAATCGTTGGACCAAACACCCGTTGTACACGTAATTATTAACGAGGCAAAAATACAGTACAGGTTACAAGAACCACCCACTGAGTCTCGATTTAATATCGAAGTACAGAGGAACTTCGTGACTGACGTAACGAGTCTATAAACAGACGAACTTACCGGAAATCTTAACGAGACTGCAATGTACCGAGGCGGATAATTACGTTCTAAGGTCCTGTGATTTTAGCGACCTCTATGTTATGAAAACGGTAAATCTACGGGGTGGGTAGTGACACTAAAATGGAAATGGAGCGCAGGGCCACCGAAAAGTGGGCCGAAAAAATACATTAAATTAAATGTCTACTCCTATACATCGTCTATGATTTTACCAACTGGTGAACAGAGACGTTACGACGTCCGTCGACGTCGGAACATCTCGTGGAGTTTTAGCCCGGGTCAAGGGAAATGGCTCGTTAGACGTTCCTACTAGTCGAGAGCGCACATTATCGTAAATTTTCCGTGGAGTTCGCGGGGACCACTTCGAGACGAGCCGCGCGCCGAGTGCTTTCTTCGACTCGAGGAGAGGGATTATGTAGTGGTTTCGTCCCAGAGTGCCGCCGCTTTTCCCCTGGCATCCGGCTACCGGCCATCCACTGGCCACGGGAATAGTCCGTAGCTACCTATACCTACAACGTTGACTAGCTTCACGTCGAAATCAAATGGCAGGGGTCATAGAACCATACATATACGATCGTAGTAAAACTGGTTCGGTAAAATAAGAATTATTACTGCCAATTTTTGCATCGATAAATCGCAAAATATCCGATAACAGGAGCTCATGAAAGTACGAATGTACCCTCACGAGTAAACTCGACTTCCGGTAGGGACAAAAGTGACGTAGAAGAAAAGTCTCCCAGCACTTACTAAATTTATATCAAGTACAGAAATAAATGTTAAACCTAATATTAATTTGGCATATGGTTCAGTAACTCCCAAAACTAAATGGTACGAGGTCTTTCCCTTAGATCACTTTTTCCCCTAGCGGAAGCCAAGTTTACTCGGGAGGGTATTTACCCCCGATGTTATCTCTTTTGAACACCGATGGTTACGTTACACAAGATGTTTCAATAACGGAAGAAGTTCGAAACATAAAGCTACGGGGTGGTATAAAGAAAAAAATAAGTATTCGTGAATTCAGGTATTCCCTAATAAATCATGTTGCATAAAATATGAATATGCAATGGGGAAAACATAAAATGTTCGGGATAAGAAAAGATAAAAATCTATTTCGTCGGTTTTTAATCGATTAAACGTGGATATTCCAATTAATAAAATAATATCTTCGTCTTGAATTAGTGGACCACTTGACAGACAATTATGTAATCTCACTAACTGTTTATAGATTAGGATGGCACGCTTTGAAATGCTGGTGCTTTACACTATGTACTATTTTCGAATAAAATTCTACTTAACTCTGAATGTACAGGTGAAATTACCCACCGTATGTCCCCTCGGCGTTATGCAACACTCTATGACACGAAATAAAATGTATTTCGAGAGTACATCTGAAGTTTATTCGAACTTTCACCGATGTGTAGAGCAACGGGTATCTTTTTTCGTATAAATTTACAGGAACGTAAGAGTTCTCTAGTGCACCGACG